TCTTTTATGTATTTAGTATTAAAATCCTAATATGTCCTAAAACATGTACTAGACAGTGTAAAAATGTCACAATTAATGTCAAGCTAGGAAGAATTTCAGATGCTATCAAAAATAAAAACAAAAAATAAGCTGAAAATCAAGTCTCATGTACCTAAAAAAGTTCTTGTAAATGTCTCCACTTGATCCTCAAGAATATTTGCTTCAAGTCTGATTTTTAATTCAATTTAAATCAATCTTATCTAGTAGAGATTGTCAGAAGGCACAGCTAATATGCTACAATTGGCTTCTCCATAAATCATTTACTGAGGGTTTGGAACCTTTTCAGGATCTTTCTGACTAGATCATCTGCTTATCCAGAAGTAAATCCTTGTTATTTGTTTAAAGGCAAATAGGATGTTCAAAATAAAGCACAAAATATCTGTACACCTTACCTAGGCTTATTTTCTTTATTGACACAATACCAAGTTTAAGGAAAAAAGTCACAGTGGCATTTAAAATATGCTGGGTTTAATGGGTCGAAGAACTATTTGGTTTTATTATCTTTTTGTTCATTCAGAAGACCACTTGATGTATCTTACAATCCAGAGATGGCTTGTTTGACCTGCATTTATAGTTTGGATCTGAAATGTCAGCACAAAGTCTCTTGTTTAGAAGATAATTGGATCATGAAGACAGTATACTCATTAGTGGATTAGTCTATTGATGAATTTATAGTGAAATGTGCTCTTAAGAAGTGGGGGCCTTATCAGCATAGATGGGGTCTTGACCTAGAAGGTCTTCTTCTCTGCCTCCTCCTTTCTTTTTCCGCTTCCTGCTGGCCAAGACATGAATAGCTTTCTTTTATGCGAGGCCTTTTCATCATGCCATTCCTGCTTTGGAGTCAGCTAATCATGGACTGAAGATGTGAATCTAAATAAATTTCTTGTCCTTTAATGTATGTCCAATATTGTGTCTCAGAAATAAAAAAAAATAACTGAGACATACTTTTTGTACCAGAGAAGTAAAGTCATTGCTGTGATTACTTGACAATATAATTTAGAAACCTAAAGGTATAAAAAATAAAGGTAAATTCCTCTGAAAGACTTTATTTTGCAAACAGTGCTCCAGGGTGCAGTAGTGAAGGACCAGTCCCTTGTGATTCAGGTCTCAGTGCTTAGGTCAGTAGGTACTCAGAGGGTCTTGCAGCCAATGGGCCCTGCTACTGCTCATGCTTTGGAGCAGACCTTGGCACCACCCATGTGGTGTGGTTTTACAGACATGCATAGTGCTAACATTGTGAGTCAGAGAGGGTTTCACCCAGGTCTCAGAAGGCCTAGAAGGTGGCAGTGTGCCCCTGACAGGGCAGTTATGCAGCTGTGAAAGTGAAACTGAACATTTAGTGAATATTCCAGAAAGTTAGAAATGCAAGAAACCTGGAACATTTGTTAAAAAAACAGTGCAGCCAGTGAGGTGAAACACCCAAAGGGAGAGGTCACAAAGTCTGCAAATGGCAATTATGTAGGGATGAGGATGCCCAAATCTTTTGGAGGTCACATTTTCCCACCTCTTACTCAGAGTATTAGGCACGGATCTATAAGAGCTAATGTTTGCCCTGCTGGGTTTTGGTCTTGCTTTGGTCCAATTTTTTCCTATCTGCCTATTTCTTTGTTTTGGAACCAGAATGTTTACTCTGTGCTACTATGTATCTGCAGTGCTTACCTTTCTTTTTGACTTTTATAGACACTCTCTTCTAAGAGTTTACGTTTAATCTCAGAGGAGACTTTGGACTTGGATTTTTCAGCAATGCTTGAATTGTTAAAACTTTTAGAAATAGACTAACTGCATTTTTCATAATGAGTTGTACATGGGTCTCTACGGGCCAGGAGTGGAATGTTATGGTTTGGATCTGATATGTCCTCATCAAAGTCTAATGTGTTTGGAAGGTAACTGTATCATTGCAGTGCTATACATTTCAGGAAATTGGCCCACTGATGAGTTTACAGTTAGACATGTTGTAAGGAGTTGGGTCCTGGTTAGAACAGGCAGTTTACAAAGGGCTTCACCTGGAAAAATATAGCTCCCTCCCTAGCTTATCCCTTTGCATTTTGTTTCTTGGTAGTCCTGATGTGACAATCTTTCCTTCATGGCAGGGCCATCTACATGCTGTTTCTGCTTTTGGAGCCAGCTGTACAGGGACTGAAAATGTGAGCCAAAAGTAATCTTTCTTTCTTTAAGTTGTGTTTGTGATATATTGTGTCTCATCAACTAAAAAATGACTGAGGCACCTACCTGAGCATGAGCATCAATTTTTGATGCTGTGAAAGCTTTCCCTTTCTTGCTCTTTGATTTGAGAACCGATGTACAGGCAGAGAAAAGTTAGTGATGTGCTACCCCCAAGTGCAAAGCAAACCACCCAGGTTTAACTGTGTACACTCAATTTGAACAGCTTTGATTTTTATGTTAGTTTCCCCCTCACTCCCCCCACACCCAGTCACCCTTTTGGCTGCAGATTAAAGTTGACTCTGTTGTTACTCTTGCTTCTATTTCCTAACCCTTTGTAGTCATTTCTAACTTTCCTAGTGTAATTCATTGATCTGGGCCCAAGTTTGGGAAAGACAGATATATAACTAGATAAAAATACCATAGAGATTGTTCTGGGACAAGTGGCTTTGTTGGGTCTTTAAAAGAAACTGTTGGTTCCCCCAAAATGACTCACTGATAATAGTTTCACTAGTGAACTCAGTTGATCGTATTATCTGTATTCTTCTTTTGGGTTATTGTTATGGATTTTGTACTTTCAGTGTATATGTTTCTGGTTTTTCAGTGATTTTCTAAAGTTATTCTCAATTTCATCTACCTTTGTGTTCTGTGGAAAGTATTAATGAATTTGTATGCATTTTAAGTTTAAAAAATCCACTTCATAGCTCACCACTTCACCTACAAAGGTAACTTGCAGTTAAATATCTATTTATTAACTTGCAGACAAATATCTATACATATTTGATTTTGAAATTCTTGTTCTAGTTTCCAGGGCCTGGTTATCTAAAAACTACAGTTTGAGTCTCACCATATTCTATCTGTGTGGTATTGGATAAGTTACTTAACACCTCTAGGTTTCAGTTTTCTCATGTCTAAGATGAAGACAGAATAGTACCTAGCCCTTGATGTTGTTTTGAAAGTTAAATTTAGTAATCTATATAAAATGCTTAGCATAGTGTAGTACCCATTGTAAAATTTCTACAAAAATTGTTATTATTAATCAGGTTAATCGCTCTCTTCACATAAAGTAGTGTTCAACAAAGTTTGAACAAGAACATTTTTCCTGTAGGCTAAATTATGAACCAAGTCATTAGAATCATTGGCCCGGAAACATGATTGTATTGTAATAAGCAACAGAATGTGTGGTTTTGATATTAAACTGATGTAATTCGAGACTATCTGTGACATTTGTTTGGATCTTGGGAAAATTATTTAACCTTTTTCTGAGTCACTTTCCTCACTCAAAAAGTGGATATGATAGTTGCAGCTACTTCATAATATTGTGGGGAGTAGGAAGTGAGATAATCCAGGTAAAGTGGGTAAGAAGAATGCTTGGCACATACTACATACTCAAAAGGTATTATCTGCTGTTGAAAAAAATCAGAGTCCTCCACCTGCTACATAGCTACTTGCTTCTGGGTGGATGAATATAGAGTATTTTGAATTGAATTGTCATAAAAAATTTGGAAAATTTTCAGGCTAAACTCTTGCCTTCATTCTCTAATTCCCCAATTCTCTACACTCTAGTTTCTGGTTCATCTTGCTAAAATTACACTTGTAAAGACCAATCATCAAATCGCATCCAGTGGGATCTATTCCTTATCTTCCAGAGGCACAGGATATCAGAGTTTACTAGCCTAACGCCATAAATTCTTAACAGAGGAAGCTAAGTCCTGTGTATTTCCCAGAGCTAATTTGTGACCAATCAAGAGTTACTCACTTTTACAGGACTGCTTATTTACCAAATGACAGTGGGTTTATTTCTATTTTAACAGACTGGGTGGGAGCCTAACAATCCAACATATGGTCAATGTAAGAACTCCCCCTTCTTCTCTTTCATCTTGTTCTCTCTGTCTCACAAATCTTGCTTAATAAGGCCCCAGTCCAATCAATATTTTAAGAAAGCTATTCTGTTTTCCCCAGTGGGATATACACCCTGTGGCCCTCTGTAGCATGAAGTCCTTATTTCCTGATCAGTAATGTTTTCTCTTCCCTGTGACTTTACTCTCTAGGGCTGTGTTCCTATTTCCCTGCTGGCTCTTTTGTTTCCTTGGGCTGGCTGCCTTGTTTGGCAGTTTTTAGCAAGCCATCTGATAGATGCCAGGAGGTGAGGGGAAGGGCTCTGAGTGAACTCCATCATTGGTTAAGGAGACTCAGTGATGGATGAGCCTTCTCTCCAGGGAGTTTTGGGTCAGAAGAAGTCCAACAGATAAGTTTTTCCAGAACCAAGTAACCAAGAAACAGTGCCAGTAGGATCTTACCCCCTTTGTAGCTTATTCTATTGATTTTAAATAAAATCCTCAGCAGCAGTTGCATATCGTGTTAGAAACACAGATTCATCCATGACAGACTTAGATATATATGACACGACTTGATTTAGAAATAACATTTGAGAAGGAGGGTAAGAGGAAGGAAGAAAGGCTCATGAAAAAATCCCTATCAAAATATTTTCTTTTTTCTAAGTATTGAAAAGACACAATGTAACCCTTTCTTCTTCCAAATGATCTCATAGCTATTTATTGAGGGGAAATACCAAATGCTTATTATTATTATTTGCAGAAGCTTCTTCAGTCTTGATGATTCATGTCATTATCATTTTCTTCCTGACTGCAGAGACTCTGAGACAATGCTACACCCCAAGTGATATGTTGGTGTCAGAACAATTCCTGTCCTGAAGCGGGTATTTGACCTTCTTTATTCCCCCTTCACAGATGTCCTTGAGCCCTTAAGACGGATGTGAGTGAGTTTTTCAGCCTTCATGCAAAACAACCATCTAAACATAACAGATGACATCAGCTTGGGCTTTTTCAATTCCTGGATGGCAGCAGCGTGTTAATCCAGCCTTCATCCTGGATTTCATAAACTAAAACAAGAGAGGCTGGCAGGAGGACAGCGCTGCTGCTGGGTTGAGGAAATTGATGACGGGGAAGCACACGGGCAACCCAGTGTATAAAGCTGATAAACGTGTAGGCAGAGAGGCTCAGCTACCACTTTGGACGGCTGCTTCCCACAGCAAAGACCACAACGCAGGGAGCTGAGCCCAAGCCAGCAGGGAAGCATGAGGAGCCTCTTGCTGCTGACCACACTCCTTGTACCTGCACATCTGACAGTGGCTTGGAGCACTAAGTATGCAGTGGATTGCCCAGAACATTGTGACAATAGCGAGTGCAGAAGCAGCCAACGCTGCAAAAGGACAGTGCTGGATGACTGTGGCTGCTGCCAAGTGTGTGCTGCAGGGCTGGGAGAAACTTGCTACCGCACAGTCTCAGGCATGGATGGCATGAAATGTGGCCCAGGGCTGAGGTGTCAATTTTACAGTGAGGAAGATGATTTTGGTGACGAGTTTGGTATCTGCAAAGGTAAAGAGTGACCTCTTGCTTTCCCCACCCCTGTACAGGGCTCCCTGAGGGCTTTTAGCCAGTTTGGGAGGTGAGGTGGCTTTGCTCCTTTGGACTAAAAGGGAAAATGCATGTCTCATTCAGCTGTTGTCCTAGTAAGAGCAGGGAGGAGAATTCTGCAGTCACTAAAACCAGTGTGCAAGAAAGCTTAGAAAAAAAGTGCAGCATTCCATACATTATATTTAGGAGATTAAAAAAGAAAGTTCAACGGAATATTGTGTTACTTCTTTTTCTGGAAAACCTTAGAAACTTGACAGGTAATTTGTTGTGAATAGTTTAGGTGCCTCCTCTCCTGCGAGGCAGTGATTATAGAGGTCCCACTAGATAACCTCTTGGGAATGATTTCTAGCCCCTGGATTTTGTGCTTTGATCTTGAAAGGGTGACGGGATGGAGAGCCTTTCACAAGATCAGGTCTAGCTGCTGAACACTAATGCATTCTATGGAATACAGTGGGTTTGAGTCATCTAACAGAAAAACTCATATTCTTAAAAAATATCCTCTGAAGTACAAAACACTTCTTTGCACTTTATAAGGATTTTGGTTACTTAGAAAACTAGTAGGCAGTGCAGGATAAAAAAAATAAATGGAAAAAAATGTAAGTATTGGAAATCAGTAAATAATAAGTTTATTTTATAAACTCACAGAAAACTTTGCCAGATATAAATTATAGTTAAAGGACACAAACATTTGTAAAAAGTTAAACTTTAAGCCTCCACTTTAAAATGTTTAACACTTAAAATGTTTGGAGTCAAAGGAGTGGTGATTTAATAATAATAATAGTAATAGTATATAGATACTCTATACTCTCATCATTAAGAGCTATTATAAGCTGTAGCACAGGCTATCTTGCCATTTTTCAGTTGTACAATGCAAAGAAGCTGTCAAAAGTATAAAATGTTCCAGAAAATTTCCAAATAACTTCAATATTTTACATATTTAATACAATTGTCTTCTTGTATGAATGAATGCATTCCATATTAAGTTAACCTAATGAATTCTTCACTTTCATAACATGAAAATCACTTTTCATCCATAAAATTTATGGAAAGTTAAGAAGCATATTTTTGATTTCTTAAGATAATTTTATTTTTGCTTATAACCAATAAGAGTTGCAATATTGAAGGAACATATTCTTTCCTGAACACACACATATATTTTGTTCATCTGCATAGCTCTGCATTTTTTGTACATTACAGAGTTTATCAGCCAAGAAAACAATTCTTCATAAAAAAATTGAGGAAGTGGTTAACACATTTATGCTATGATGTAGCAAATATATGCAGCAGATCATTTTTCTCTTAGTATAAGAATTCCTGTGTAAAAGTGATTATAAATGTACAATTACACAAGGGTAAAGAACCAAACTATAAGGTATCTGGAATTTTTATTACTCTATTATTCTATTGAAAGATCAAGGTAAATGTTAATGAAATGTATTTATTATATGTTTTAGTTTGTTCTTTTTGGCATCCTTCAGATTGCTAATGAGTTTAGTTTTAAACATTTTTCTTTTTGTTGGAAAATAATGAGAACACGAGAACCTTAGCAACTCCAGGTAGAGACTCTGAATTTGCTCTAGACAGCCCCTTGTTTAGCTTTTTGTGCAGAACACCCATATAACCATTAAATACATTAGCTGTACATCCAGATGTTTTTTCTGAGTATTCAGACACTTGTCATTGTGTTACCTAGATAACAATCAACTAGCCAAAACATATTAATTGAATACTTAGCAAATGTCAAGTACTGTTCAGTACTTCAGGAGAAGGGTTAGAAGTACAACTTAGAATTTGGCTAAAATTTTAATTTTCAATAAAACTAAAGTTCCACTGTAGACACAGTCCACCTCCAGTCCTTTGTGCTTTTCTGCTAAGAGTGTTTTCAGGATTCCTTTTAAGAACCTCTCCTCCTAGGAGAGAGGATAGTGTACAAAACCAAGGTCCTCTGTAATCTTAAGGACTGAAGAAAAAGCAAATTTAAATCTCTTTAAAAGTGTATTTTGTGAATACCTACCTTGATTACTTTGTGGACTACTAGTTTGCTAAGACTCAGCTGTCTCACAACTTGTTTACCGCTATTCAACTGTATAGTTACTATGATATTTTCATGGCAATAAAATAAAATATTCCACATATGTTATTATGTCTTTTAAAGACTAGTTTTTCTGTTGAGATATTGTTTATATCATAAAACCATTCCTTCTTAATAAGTTACTTGGTTCTCTCGATCTCTGTGTAGTATATTTTAGTCCAAGTATAGTAACTTTGAAACTCTAAAAGCTTTCAGTTTTTGGTAGATGCATGAGTGCTCAGGGTGGATAAACTCTGAACTTTCCTGTTCATTATCACCTCATATCTTAGCTTTGCAGAGATTTTTTACTAGTGAACTCTTTTAATAGTGGAGGGAGTTAGGTACGTCGTACTACTGTTCTGACAGATAAAGAACTTAATAACACTTGGAACAGATTGAGGATTGATTGTTTCATGGTGAACAAGGATGATAGCTCCTGTTAGCCCTGGTTACTTTGAAGCCTTTTGCTATACATTTAAATAGTAAATCCACTGTTAAGTACAGTGGATTTAAGAAAGCATCATCTTTTTAAACTCCGTGAGGAGCTGATGCATGTATCTGTTCAATTTCCCATCTTCACTGAGCTGTTACAGAGGTAACCTGTGAGAATCTACAGACATCTGATCAGAAAATAGAATTAACACTGGTCCAAGGAAATTGGTTATGTGTAATTGTTTTCAGATAGAGTTAACAATGTAATACAAAACCTGAGATATACATTATCTAGTCTGAATCTGGGCTTTTGAGTTTGAAGTTTCATTGTATAGTCAAGATTCGTAAGTTTGGATGAAATTCTAACACTATCAGTCAGGGCTGCTAGGATGGAGGCTTATGCACATTAGGCAACTGCATCATTAAACCCTTCCTCTGTCCTCAGACTGCCCCTACGGTACCTTCGGGATCGAATGCAAAGAGACTTGCAACTGCCAGTCAGGCATATGTGACAGGGTGACAGGCAAATGTCTGATATTTCCCTTCTTCCAGTATTCAGCAGCGACATCTTCTACCAGGAGGTCTATCTCTCACACAGGTAAGAATAGATTCTGGTATCACTGCAACAATAGTCTTACTTTGAGTTTGAATCACTCAAAAAATATCAGTGCATAGATTTTAATGCTTTTTTCTTTATTTTACTCAGGGAAAAGGTGGGTGGAAGTTGTGTTTGGTTGCTGTTGCTATTTTCTAAAAAGATTTCCATTAATACTTTTGAGATTCATATATTATGATTTCTCATACAGTTATCCAGGGCACAGGAAGCATATATAAGATTGACTACCAAAAATGTGTAATAAAAGTAACCAACTGAGATACACAAAGTTCCTTAAATTCTTCAGTGATCTGCTTTAAATATTTATTAGACAAAACTATTCTTCTCCCAACTTCACAGAAAAAGCACTGCTAAGAATTTACTGGATAAGGTTTAAGAGTCAAGATAAAAAGAAAGAACATTTCTTTTAAATCAATTGGAAGCATTTAAATGAAATAATTCCAAATATGTGTTTTTATGAGTTTTGCAGAAGATAAGAAGTAGTATCTGTGATTGAAATTTGGGGAATGAATTAAATTGTTCTTTTATTCATATGCAGCTTATAAATTCATGTGTTTTTCTTATTCAGATGTTAGAGATATACAACCTGTAAAATGCTAATATCAACAAACTATACTTTCCCCCTCAGATATAAATCATGATCCAAATCTGTTTTAGTTAGTTTTTGATTCTGGTCTTTTGTACTTCAAGTTAATCTGAATGTGAAATGTTTGACAAATATGCTTATTTTTTCAGCTTCACCTCCTTCTTATATATGGGTGTAACTTGAACATTTTAAAACAAAGCAGGAAATGTGATTTTAAGTGAATTAGTAGTGTTAACTATGAATATGCCCTTAAACCTTAATTTAAATTGAAAATCTTTTTTGTTGTTTGTTAAAGAGGAAAAAACAATGACACAAATTTTAAAACAATATAATAGGAGAGTGCTAATGGTTAATACATTGTGTATTGTTATCCTTAAAGTAGTTGCTCAGGTTACAAAATATAGGTGGGAAAATTTGATCAAACAATATAACACAAACTCCATTTTTTTTAACCTATTAGATGAGTATCTTTGTGATTATTTGATCTGGGAACAGCCATCTTAAATACTTATGACTTGTCCCGATAGTTTTTGAAAAGCAAAAGCCTAGATTTTAAGACCTGAATTTTTTAAGGTAAAATTCACATAAAATTAACCATTTTGTAGTAAACAATTCAGAGGCACTAGTACATTCACAGTGTTGCATAATCACTGCCTTCAACTATTCCAGAACATCTGCATTAGCTCCAACTAAAGACCTGGTACCCATGAGGCAGTTACTTGTCTTCTTCACATTTCTCCAACAACTAGAATCCTATATGATCTGTTTTCTGAAAACTTAGACATTTTTTCTCCAATGACTAGATTTCTTTTCTTTTCTTTTTTTTTTTTTTTGAACCCAGGATCAAACTCACAACCTAGTGCTTGCTAGGCAGGCACTTATGCTGCTGAGCTAAATCCCCGGCCTATGACTAGATTTCTTGTAGTATATATTTGAGGCTATTGTTTCAGTATTTTAGTTGCCTTAAAAAGTCACATCTTCTTTTGTCTTTTGTGTATTATGCTTTCTTAAAATTGCATGCTTAAAAAGACCTTTAAAGGAGCAACATTTGCATCCTTCCTTCCTCATGTAAGTTTCTCACGTGTGAATCTGTTGTGAATCTTTGAAGTTGTTGGAGATGGAATGTCTGGGAGGGCATGAGAGCGCCTTTGGAATCGTCAGTCCTAGTGTCTCAGAGAAACCAGGACACACAGACTCCTAGTGTCTCACCTGTGTCCCTCTTGCTGCACAACAGCAATGTGACTTCTTGGTCTTTTCTCTGAGGACTGTTGTGCAGTCTCTTTCTCTTGAGCCTGTCACTCTCTAATTTGTTTGCAGATTATGGAATATCTTAGCTACTCTATAGATCCTTTAGCAACAGATATTGTACTGCTGGTTGGACATTACGTTATAGGTTATACAGAATTATTTCTATACCAAAATTAGATACTGAGGTGTTTATTAGCAATCTATGGAAAAAGCAGTTTTCTCTCTTTTCTGACCAAGATATTTAAAAGATTACTACTATAATTTTGGTAAACTTTAGTCAAGTTTAGAATGAGGGGCAATATATCCTAAAGACATGGTGGAGAGGCTACCAGGGAGGGCCCTGCTCAGCTTTACAGTCTACTGAGACTTCCTGAACTTATGTACTAGACTTTACAGAAAAGAGTATGACACTACAGACTTCATATCATCTCTATGCAAACATTATTGGGCTCACATTTTGAAAGCAGAAGAAATGGCCCCAAATTTCACCATCATAAGATCTCCCAAAAGTTCCTTTCATACGCTGCCTGCAAGACATTTTCCTTTCCAACTTTATACATTGTCACTGGCTACAACACTATTGACCAGGTGGGCTTCCTTGCCCTAGTTGTCTCATTTTTAAGTTTTTTTTTTAATTTATTTCATTGATGACCAGTGTCCCAAGGCTGGGATTCACAGGTGACCTTCCTATTGGGATGAGGGGAGAGGAAGATTTGAAATGTTTCATGAATCTGTACCCTTTTTTGTGTCAGGTCATTCTAATCTTTGTACAGCATTCAGGATTTGCAGTGGTGAAGCAAGCATGTCTCTTTCTAAATTTTTGCTTTAGAAAATTTTGATTGTTACAATTCTTTTCCTGTATGTAAAGCAAGAGCTGTCATTATGGAAGTTCTACTGCTGGTCTGTCTTTTTGACTCACATCCAAAAACAAACCTTTCTCTATACCTGTTAGTATAAAAATCCTGCTCATTGATCTATTATAGTATTTATAATAGAATAAACATTTATCAAGTGCCTACTGAGTTCCAGGGACTGTTGTAAGTGCTGGGATACAATAGCATATGACATTAAGTTACTGTTTTTTATAGAGCTGGAAGTCTAATGGTGGAGTCAGATAATACAGGAGAAAGAGACGGGGCGGGGGGGAGATAGAGAGAGAGACATACTACATAAGATAATGTCAGGTGGTGATAAGTAATAAAGAGAAATAATCAAGATGCTGTTATCCTACCAAAGTTGGGGGTGCTAAATAATAGAGTAGTTCAATATAGTGACCATAGAATCTTGGACTCTATTAAAATTTTTACTTTAAATCCTATTAACCAAAGAACAAAATTAAACTGTGCTTGATTGGTGAGTTATAGATATTTGGATACAATATATATTTCTCCCTATTTCAGATCATGACATGGCATCTGGAGATGGAAATTCCATGACAGAAGACATCATGAAAAAGAATGCTGCTCAGTCTCCTGTAATGAAATGGTTGAATCCACGCTGATTCTGGGCAGGATTTCCAAGGGAAGGTTCTGTCTTAGTGGTTGTCCAATACCCATTTTAAGAACTATCTAGATTATAACATATGGATGTGTAATTTTTGGAGATCAAGTATGTCTTGGATGGATCCAGTCACAAGAAGTAGACTAATTAAAATCCATAAAATGCATATGGCCCATTTGGCAGGGGTGAGGATGAGGCATTATAATACTTGGATCTTCTCTGTGGTAACTTCGATAGAATTTAATTATTATTATTTACTTTGGGAAAAGTAAAAACCCAAACCAGAACCGCACTGCGGTAGTGGGATGTTTTAAGCCTGTGGGATTTGAGCAACAACATTGAACTGAGGTCAGTTTCAAAGGGCTGCTAATGTAGTTCTCAGGTCCCCTGGATCTGAAGGATGGACCTAAGGCAGAGGGCAAACATACACTTCCATAAGTGGTTTGAAGAATATCATCTCTGAGATAGAGCTAGGAAGTTCTCTGCCTATTGGGATGGGGAGGGATAGAGGTAAATATTTATATATTTTTATTAAAAAATGTGCTTGTACAAGTGATCTTCCATACCCATGTTTATCACTCTCTTGAGGAAATGAACTTATCTCTTAAATGATTAGAAAGGATTAACTCTATAAGATTTTAAAATAATGTATTATATTATAATAATATTAATAGTAATAAGCATAAGAGAAACCTAAAAATTTTAGTAATGGAATTTATAAAATGTCAAAAGATGAACAATGTAGGGAATTTACTTAAAAGAAAATGCCGTGACTTAGGTACAATTTAAATTTAAAGTAAAGAATAATCTTTTAAGAGGTTTGGAAAATAGTTTCCAACAAGAAACATGCCAACTTTAAAATGTGGTTTATTTTCATACTTTTTGTCTTTCAAACTTGATTGATAAGTGGAATCAGGAGTATGTTTGGGAATGTTTTAGCCCAAATGGAACTAGTGTACTACATGCCGTTAGGAAATACTTGCAGAAATATTTTATGTGGAGTCAAGAATTTATTTAAGAATTATTTCAGTATTTACCTATATTTTATTCTTGAAGTTTGCCAACAGAAATGTGAATGTGTGTGGGGGAGGATCTTTGAATGTAAGCAGAATAAACTGTTCGGTTTTGTTTTAACAGGGCAAACATGACTGTTCAATAAAAAATAAGACCCAGCTGCTCTATGTCTACTGATTTCTTTAAATTGTTAAATCTTGTAGCCCAGTGAATAAGAAACCTTTTGTACACATTAAAGGATGAGCATTTCAACTGAGTTTCCTGCCACACATAAACTTTCGTTAAATATAAGAGGCCAGAATATTTGTTTCTTTGCTTCACTTCTTTGGTCTACTCATTTTTTAGATCTTCCTAAAAACCGATACCTATATATCTGTCCACTTAGAGTCTTTATTAATCTGCTTTAAACTATTTTATTAATTTTTAAGCAACAAAAAAATAAATACTTCTGGAGTCATGGATTGGCTATAGAGCTAAGCTCTGAAATGATTGTTTTTAGGACACTGGATGATAATTCATACAGGAGCATCAAGATTCTAAACTTGTTTTTTCCTTCTGGATTTTATTTTTTGGTACTTGGAACTGAACTTAGGACCTACATGCTAAGCTAACTCTCTAGACCTTCCTTCCCTTTTATTACCCCTCTTCCTCTTTTTTTTCTCTTTCTCCTTTTTCTCCTTCTCCTATTTCTCCTTCTCCTCTTCCTCTTCCTCTTTCTTCTTGTTCTTGTTCTTGTTCTTCTTGTTCTTGTTCTTCTTCCTTCTCTCTCTCTCTCTCTCTCTCTCTCTCTCTCTCTCTCTCTCTCTCTCTCTCTGTCTTTATGCCACAAGGTCTTGCTGAACCTGGCATGAAGCAAGTTCTGACTGTTCTCCAAAGTAAAAATGTATATAAAAGATAAATGTTTTGAATCAGTTCAGTACATTGAAGCAGCCACAACAGCACAAGTAAAGACACTCATGAAGAGGATTTCTAGAACTGCTTCAAAAAGTGACAAGAATTATGGGACAAGAGTGTTGAAAAGAGAGCGTATGTGGAGAGGAATTAACAGCAATGTGTCTTTTGTAATAAATTTATAAAAGTTTAAACATTCAATGTAGTTTTTGATCACACCTGGTGTTAAGGTAATAGGTAAAATGCTAAAAATTGTGGCTATGAGGAGAAACATCTCTGGTTTGCTGAAATTAATTTCTTTTAAGGTGGTAGAAACGGACCGTGAGTGGGATACCAATTTATGTTACTGAAAGACTCCGTACTGTCATTGAATTAAAAAAGAAAGTCATGAAAATCTTTACTTTCACCTATGTGCAGTGAAGTTTAGAATATGTTCTTAGAGAGTGAATTTACTTAGAGACCTACTGTCTTTGCCTGAATCCCAGGCCTCAGGCCAATGTCCCTTTGGGTTCTGAGGAAAGTGGAGCAAGAGCTCAACTGGGACAAAACTGATCGTTGTTCCTGGCTCTGAAACAGCCACCTACACAACACAGACAGTAAAATAAAACGAAGGTGGGCCCTCCTGCTCTGAGTTGTGGGAGATTTGCTAGCTGCCCAGATTCATGTTACAGGGGGAGCTTTTAAGTTCTTCACCCCCAAAACTAGCATTTGTCTCTTCTACATTATTCTGTAGTCTTTTGATTCTGTTTTTCATTGCAGTGGTCTCCAAAAATCTTTGATCCTCAGTGTACTGGATTGCCTTTTTGATTGCAATTTTTGGAGTATATAATTTTAAACTTTATGTAAACTATAATATTAGGACATTGTGTTCAATGTGACACATACACTCAAACCAGAAATTTTTTTTTATTGGTACTGGGGGTCAAACTCACAACTGCGTGCTTGTAAGGCAGGCGCTTATGCCGCTGAGCTAAATCCCCAGCCCCTTAAACCAGAAATTTTTAAAAGGGTGAATTAAGAAATAACAACAGAAGACCTAAGATTTTCTTCTTGCATTCCAATAGCCCATTCTGGGAAACATTGGAGAAGCAAAAGAAAATGCCACAGCTCAGTGGCCTTGGATGAGACCTAACCTCATTGGATATTGGAAAGAAATCAATTAAATATAATAAATATTTTTGAGATGAACAGATGAGTGTATTGGTAGCTAGATGGGTAGAAGGTTAAATAGAAAGATGGATGAATGCATGACTGGAGTGATAGTTGTGTGGAGGAATGAATGGAAGAATGGATGGATAGATGGGTAGATGAAACAAGTAACAAGTTTCTGTCTCCCCCTGAGTAGTGGCTGCTTACAAAACAGGTATCATTTCTTTTCTTTTCATTTGTCCTCTTACTGCTTGGTTGTTTTCTACCTTGCCTACTGATGTGTGAGGTGACTGTGAAAAGTAGGAACCTATACTATAGTCAGTGGATCTGACAACTAGAATTGTTCCTGGCAACAAAGACAGGGAATGGTTCTCCCTCAAGCACCAGGACATCACCAATGGTAGTAAAAGGTAAAGGTAGTTCCTATTGTAACCAGAATAAGCAGTCATTTCTTGTTACAGGCAATTTGGGAAGAATTTTGTTTCCTCTTTTTAACTTGTTCTCCTTAGGAGTAAAGCCTCTAGATCCACAATTTAAAGTTTCATAGCGATTTAAAGGGAGAATTATTTGTGATTCTCTCAGTTATCCTACTTGTTAAACGTTTTCTTTGCTTGAAAGAATACATTATAGAGCTGTCATTCTCAGTGTTAGCATGCATCAGAATTACCTGGAGCTTTGTTAGAGTACGAATTGCTACTTTAATACGTTTGAGGTGGAAACTAAGAATGTTCCATCTCAATAGACTCCCTGTGATACACAAGCTATTGTTCAGGGACTATACTTAGAGACTCATTGATACAGGGAAATAGATGTTTGCTTATTAGTAAGCTAAACTATATTTCAAAGCAATCATTGTTGGTCTTACAAAAGAATATATTGCTGTATTCTTAACCAGTTGCTTAATTTTTTGCTTGGAGATTCTTAACTATTTAAAGCAACTGACAGGGTTAAAATGTCAAAGAAACTTCACGCTGCATTGTGGAGCCTGCAGAAACAAGTAGGAGAAGATCATAAGAGAAGAATGGAGATGGAAGAACTAGGGACTTAGGAAGTAATCAAATGATATGTTCTCATAGAACCAAAGAGTTTCATGAAGATCGATCAGTCATGTCAGGTATCCTCGAGATAAACCACAGAACTGAAAATCCCTAGGTGGTCTCTGGCAACCATAGTAAAGCAGCATCCATGGAGAGGCTGGCAGAGCCTAACTGTACGGTAGGAAACCTGCATGACAAGTAAGCATTTTTTCTAAGAGGTTGTCTGGGAAGGACAGAAAGGTAGTTAGTCTGAACCGTTATTTACTTGAAGAGTATTTGCTTTTCTCTGACCCTTCCTCTAAAGATTATAGAGGTATGATTCTAAGTTCATAATTAAAAATGAGGGTAAAAACTTCTTCAGCAATGCTATCACTTGCTTTACTTACATGAATCGGATAATTAAATTCTACATATATTGATTTTTGAGCATAAATCTTCCCAAGCAAATGTATTTATATACTTTTAAGGCCCATAGACAATACAAGAGTTGCTGGAAATTTGAATTATTTGGTTTAGAAATGGCACTTAAAAAGTTCTAGTCTATGCTTCTTATTTTATAGACAAAACACTTAGACCCAAATAAATTTAGTGACAACATCTTTAGCCTGGTGACAAAAGCTGTAACACATATCATTATAACCTTTTAATCCATTCAATTTTTGAAAATAAAAGTATTAACAAATTTCCCTGTCTCATATTAATATATATGCATGTTATAAAGATTTGAAAATGTATATAACTTTTTTAAGGGAATAAAACTAACCAACCCCCCCCAAAAAAAAACACCCCAAAATAAAGTCAATCAGAACAAAAAGGTTACACTTGGGAGGCTGACGCCTGAGGATCGTTGGGAGTTCGAGAGTAACTTGGGCTACAAAGTGAGCTCAAGACCAACTAAACTACATATCAAGAGCCTGTCTCAAAAAGACAAAGTAATAAAAATAAAATAAAATAAATGGTGAAAGTGATACAGAACATGAAAATATGATAATAGGAAATTAACAATGGCTATAATATCTTACTATCTTTGAAATAGCTGCTCATGCCACTAAATATAATAAAATTAAACCAAACAGAATAAAATCAAAACAAAACAATACAGGCTTTTAAAACAAGATAATAGGGAATTAATAAAGGCTACCACCTTCCCTTTTTAGATGTTTCCTCCCCTTTCACTTTCACAATATCTATTTGAACATTAGTACAATATTGATTGTACTAATTCCTTCAGTTTTTTTAATACTAGGGAGACAATATGATGTTCAGCTATATGAGTGTGAACCATTTCACCCAAGAGCATGATCACAAGCTGCATTCATTTACCTATAAGAACCTCATGATTATCCTTCTTTATAGCTGATTAGTTTTCGATTGTATAAAAATGCCATGTCTTTCTTATCCATTCTGCAGCTGATGTGCAAGCTATTTTTGCTCTTTTCTGGTTCCTTGTCACATGGAGCATTGTTTTCTCTCCTTTAACTTTCAGCATGCATTTACATTTGAGTTAATGTGTTTCTTGTATACTGCATATTGATGGATCTTGTTTCTTGGTCCACTCTGCCTGTGTTTCTTTTTTTGGTGAGTTGAGGCCATCTACATTAATGGTTATGGCCAACATGCACTGGTTTTTCTGTTCCATGATGTTTTCCCTGCTGGTAGCTCCCTACTTCTCCCCTCCATTCAATTGTCTGCCCTGGTTGGTGATCCCACTCTCCTGTTCCTCGAACCATGGTCATTTTTATGTCTCTCTAGAATATCCTTTGGTACTCTTTTGTAGGGTTGGTTTGGTAGTCATGAATTCATTCAGTTGTTCTGTTTCACAGAAGTATCTTGTTTCTCCACTAATTTTGAAAGATAGTTTTTCAGGATACATCAGTCTGGGTTGGAAATTGTTTTCTTTCAGGACTCAAAATACTTTATTCCAAGTTCTTCTTGACTTGATGGTTTGTGCTGACAAGTCATGATTCTGATGGGTTTTCCTTGATAGGTGATCTGTTTCTTTTCCTAACAGTATTTAATATTCGGTTCTTGTGCTGAATTTCTGGGATCTCGATTATTGTATGTCTGGATGTAGATTTATT